TTGGTGTGGGAGATTTTATATTCTTAATTTGGGATTATAAATAAAATAGTTGTGTTAATATTTACCTTTTAATAATAATTAATATCTTATCTTAAAAACGTCTAAATTTTACATTAAATTCGATAAAAACTTGCCAAATCATTATTTTAATATTAATACAATTTTAGTGAACATATTTTAAAATTTTTTTAGTGTCCTCATGATCATCTGATTATTTCACAATGTAGTTTTCTATATCGGATACGATGATTCTGATATAATTCAGACCCTGAAATTATACATTTCGATCTGTTATTTAATACATATTGTCTTTGTCTATTTAACAGCAAATGGAATTTGCTTTGGGACCCATGGGCCGCGAAATTTTTCCAGCAACACACATTGTTTCCAGATGAAGTGTTGACACACCCAAAAGTGAAGTATAAAATAAATAGATAAAACAAATTTTCAATCAAACTGATTTCTGTAGTTCAGGGCCGTCTTTTGGTAAATGTTCTGGAGGCTGTTTTAATTTATCCTATCTTATTATATATTTCTTAGCTCTTCTACATTCTGAGAAGTTGAGAGAATGAAGTCTAATGTTCTTTTTTGGTCAACTACGACGTTTGATTTCATTTTTTGCAATCATTAGTTCATTTCCTTTGAGGAGTCACAATGGCCATACCGGCTATGTCGATTTTTTTGAAATTTCGGACACAAATCTTCCATGAATGGTTATAGGCTAAAACAAAACCGTTATCTAAAGGGGGTGTGGAACCTCCCATACAAATCGAATTTTTCATAGTGCATATCTCTGGAAGTATTTATGGTAGTGTTCTGGAACTTGGTATGGATATATGTATGTATATGAAGTCAATCTCAAGCTCGTGAAAAAATATGGGTTTGTTGGAAAATGCAGCGTGCCACCGTAGAACTTGGAAAAGAGCTAAATGAAATCAATCCCAAACCTATTAAAAATGGGGGTATATGAAAACGATCTCGTAGCCAGCTACGAGAGCTAGCGGTGTAAGCCATATAAACTAAAATTCTGGTGACGCATAGATACCTCTGGAAGCATTTACCTAGCATACGGAGATGAGGCATTTTTACCTTCCTCTTATTAACTCGGGATGTAACTATGTAATATTGATGCGCCTAAAAGATGCAGCGATTTCTATTCTCAAGTTACATACCTGATGACAGTACGAATGGCAATTATAATAGGGAGGTTTTAGTTTTTTAAACTATAATTTTTTCCAATGGAAATATGTACAGAAAAACGGGCGCGAAGCCTTCTGGAAAGTAACATGATCACAGGGTGTATCCCTAGAACCATGTTAAGCTAAACCTTGAGGGATTACATTCTTGTCAAGACCGACAGGCATAAGCTGAAATTGCGTCGCAAGTTTTACGATCGGCTTGGGTAAGGTTTAACCACTTAACCCCCCTTTGTTTTCGCAGCTACTGAATTGTGTAAACTGTCAGCTTTCACACAATTTAAAATGTACATGTGTATTTAAAAATGTCATGAAAATTGTGTTGCTAGCTTCATTTTGCAAAAATGTTGCAAGCTTTTTCACAGCGTGAACAGAATAGTACTTTGCTGAGGAAATGTCGAATTTCACACTTGTTTCACAGAAAGAAGTTTTATATGCAATTTAACAGCTTTATCACGTAAAATAGGAATAAAATACATACTTTGCTTAAGAACAAAGATTTTTAAATCGACAAAAAATTAATAAGAAAATTTGAGGTATTTTAGATTTTGGGTATGGTAGCACGAAATGTCACAATCTGCTTAATTGTCAGGTTGTTAATATGGCGACGGAAAAGTGACAATGGAACTACCTTGTTTTTTGTATCATGGTAGCAAGCTTTCTATATGTATAAATTTGTTTGTAGAACTTTTAAATAAATTTTTTTTTGTAGAAGCCTTTGAACTGTACAAAGTAGAATTTTGGAAATTTAAAAATTTATACAAACAATTTTGTACATATAAATAGAAAACTTGTTACTTCACATGCATGAGCGCCTGGTATTGGGAAATGAGAATATCGTTCTTTTCAAACAAGTAATTTTTAGCAAAAAAAAAACCGACTTCAACTCTCATATAAAAAAAAAAAATATATATATATATATATCTCATGATCCGCTGATCGGATCTTAACCAGATTAATATGGGACCACTCTGAGACACTACCTTTCCGGTTGACGTGGTCCAAAGTTATGCGGTAACATACATAAAAAAAAAAAAAAAAAAAATATTCCGACGAACTGATAACCTCCTCCTTTTTTGGAAGTCGGTTAATAAAAACTGATCATAAAGGGTGGCCGCGCGAAAATTGGCACTTATGTGTTTTAAAAAAGACATTATATGTATGTGGATAAACCATGGACTGAATGATAAAAGCTGCTATCATTTGATGGTTGTTATGCTTGATTATTTCATGTTCTGCAGATTTTCCAATCTTTAAAAGAAAAATTTTATAGATACTAATTGTCTTGGAACATTTTTCACTCAGTTTTCAAGAAACCAAAACTATAAATTTGTAAAATATGTTCATGTGAATCAAGCTGCGTTTCATGCGTGGAGGAGTCCAAGCACAACCATTCATTCGTAGGACATGGCTTAGCCCGCGTGGCCGCTGTGCATTGATACGCGACACTATGTTAATATCGTTTTATAGTTCATACACCTCATTATTCCATCATTTAAACTTACATATTTTTCTTAGTGTATAAAATTTGATTAGAACTGAATTAGAGAATGCACACATAGCAAAGTATTCATTCATCTGGAAGTTAATTCAGTATTGAATTCTGTTTACTTCAGCATTCTCAGTTTTTCATTCAGGTATTTACTACCTTACTGTGTGAAATCAATTTTTTTTTAATGATTGTAGATTGAAAAAAATATAAGCCACACTGCCAGACCAAAGCAAAATGAATGAAATCCTACTTGTAAATATTTCATGATTAAAATTTTAAATGATTTCACAGTTTTACAGCTCTGAGCCTTACAACTAGGTAATTGAATCGGCTCGGATCACCGTTTCGTAGATGCTGCTGCTCTGTTTGGGAGCTACTTGCTGCAGCCTGGATCGTCATTTTTGCACCACCTATGAAAAGAGGCGGGTAAAAGTCTTAAATGGCTGACGAAACAGTAAATAGTTCTTCAATGGGGGAAATAAATTTTGAAATTTTAAGTTGTCTTCAACTTTAGGTCTAAGTGTGTCATTCATGCCCTAATTAGCTCTGTTGATGAATCCTAGAGATACATCGGAATTAAGTATACTAGCTAATATTCATCCCCGTGGAAAACTTCTCGCATCCAAAAGATGGCTTTACTCCTTCCAACAATTTCACTGCTTCTAAATTACTGTCCATGTATGTATCCAACGGCCCTATAACGCACTGCAGAGGTCGAACTTCACTGTATGGTAGTGCTCCGCTTCGAAGGCGAATACTTTTGAACTTCATTCCACACAACCACTAAATCTTTTGGTGCGATTATGACATTATTTTCTTCTACTTTAAATGGAAATCAAATTATCAATCGTACAAAATAAAGGTAGAGCTGGATGGAGGTGGACTGATATCCTGGGTCTACATACCAGCTGGCAGCTACATTTCGGGTGTAAATATCTCATCGTGTTCTACATAATCTTCGATTAATTTATAAAGAGAAGAAATAGCTCAATATAAAGAACGAGAACTGAGATAGACCAAATAAGAACATTAACCCAGGAAGTGTTCCATCCGGGAATTTACAAGGTAGCTTGCACAGAAGGAGTGCAAACATTTGGCTGATGCTCATTCCAGAAAGAGCATGGACGTTTTGAAATTTGTTTCCAACCAGCTATCTGTTTATCTCTTTCTCTCCTACTCTCTGATTTTATTGCCATGATTATAATTCTTTAAACTTACCTTCGCTCATCGCTCGCTCACATATCACAAAATTTTTCGCGCTGCAATCGCGATCGTTCCACATGAATGTGCTCGTCAATGGGTTGCGGTTCGTTTGAATACCTGGCGGTGTACGAAAAAAACGACGGAGTTCTATACAGTCTTGGCTGCTAAGACCATCATCGTTGGGCTGCTTATTATAGTGACTGTGTTCCGTCCATCCCGGAAACCAGTCTAATCAAAGAAAATAATAGGAGGAAAATGCAATTAGTTAAGCCAATAAATATGTTTAAGATCTGTACTTTGTATGTACTCACTTGTATATTGAAACAACAGCCCATCGCTCCAGCGAAAGTCTCCTTCATAACTGCTATCCGAGCCACCGACCCAGTAGGCGTTTTGCTCACTATAACCCGGACTGTTGAAAACTAACTCATTGACTATTTGTTGTTGCTGTTCAGTGCGAATGGAAGCTAAATGGCCGCCTAAATTTACGCAATGTTCCTCGGCATCTGGCCAAGACATGACCGTTTCGATGGCGTTTATACAAAATTGCTGCATTGCAATCCAGCCGAAGTCGCAGCTAGAAACGATTTCGGTAATAGGCAGCGCTCTGTAGGCCAAATAAATAGTCGGCAGTTTAGTAAAGGATGTATTGTTGTCCGTGCCTGAACTCAAGTCCCCACCTAGAGGCAAGGTATTATATGTGGCACGCGATGCTTTGAAGAGATGTATGCTCAGCGTGTTTCCCGTTGAGGTTAGAATAAACGCACGCATGCGGTTTGTGTCGTTTATGCAATATGACCAGCGAATGTAATCGCTTTCGAATACCTTAATAACTACGCCATCACAGTTAGAAATATCATTGACCGCCTGCAAAGGTTTGCCGCTGGCGCCGTAGTTAAAATCGTTCACTTGATTTTCCATGAGCCTCAGAAATCCATCGAGCGCACTGGTAGAGCGTTTATTAATATGCTCTCGCGTGTGATTGTAAGCATTCCGCGCGCCTGAGCCATCATCAGTTCGTGCCGCCGCCTTGGGCTCGGTACGCCGAAACAGTGTTGTTGCGATGGGATTCTTCTTTGCGCTCCCAGTGCCGCTATTGGCGGTCATATTTATGCGCTGCGTGTCGAGTTGTACGCCCTGCGTGGTGTAGATGTTGAAAGTGTCCTGCTCACCAGCAGCATTCAGTTGAATACCGTCATTTGGCTGTAGTATGGCGCTATCGTTGTTCGTTACGAGCGTTAGACTTATGCGATTACCGTACGGCAGATGGATACGAAAGTAGCACTCTAGTGCATCGCGCATGCTTGGGCGTACATAATACTCGCCCGACTGATTACTCGTTGTAAGATTGTAACAGTAGTCTACTAGCTTGTAGCTCAGACTGAACATTGGACTCTTGTGGAAGTGTACTGTGGTGCGACTACGCACATCAAAGTGATAGCTGCGATCGGCAGCATTCAGCTCTTCCAACTTGCCACACAATCGCGAACGATCGTTGAAACGTATGAAGCCACCGCTGTTGCAAGGTACATTCAGTCGCTGCAGTTCAACGAGTATGCCCGCCGGTGGGACGTCGCCTTTCTCCAAATTCGCAGTCGCTGAGGGACTGTCTGGCTCGAAGAGTCGATACGGAGGGAAATGTACCGAGCAGTCGATGCTGTACAATGGAAGTGCTGTGTAATCCAACGACCCTCGGGAAACTTCTCGTAATAGCAATTGGCAGTCTATGGAAAAGAAAGTTAGGGGAAAATTAAATCAAGAGTCGTTAACACAAGCGAGTGCTACGCGTTTGAACATTTTGTTTAAAGCTAGCTTGCGACCGAAAATTGTCAGTCGTGATTTATAAAACCGGCAAAACGCGTGTGGGTGTACATATTGGAAAGCAAAATAATGGACAATTAAAAAATAGGGCTATGAATTGTCTAACAAGTCACAGGACAAGTCTAAGGATATAACAAGGTTGAATTAGATTAGGTTAGATGAGGATGGCTGTTTACATTTGGTTGGTGCACTTATACTAGTAATCCAATTGTCATTTGTCGTGCCAATAAGAGAGGATACGGAGGAAAAGGAAATATGTTGGCTGAACAGTCTCGCCTAATAGTTTGTGGTAGAAAAACGTTGGGTTCTATCAACAAATCTCCGCAAGTTGCTTACGTCTGTTTCCAAAAGCTTCTCGGGGCGAGAAAAGTCAGATTCAGAGTGTTTAAACTTTAAATTCTAGAAGGGTGGGTGGATGTTGTTTCACCCCCTCGAACCCCATACAGCTGCTGCAGTTGCGCCTCACCGCATTAATTCTGATTGCAAAATGACCGGTTATTTATCCCACTTACCAGAGATAAGAGCTACATTTACTGCCGTCGGTTAACCCGTTGCCACAAGAACCTAGCCACCTTGCATTCCAAGGTTTTTGAACATCATTTGCAGAGCTGACTAAAACCCATCTATCCAGAAGAGTACCAGATGTCGCCAGTGGAGCTCCGACCATTTCCTTACTCGGCAACAATTCCACAAGTGTGTCATGTGAAATAAGTAACTTTATGCATAAGTTCATAGAGAACTTTCCTTTCCCTAACAGGGTTGCAGACATGGGCAGCATAAGCCGATATAATTCGGGAATTTTTAATGACTTTGCTGTTATATTTTTCGTTACCTTCAAGAAATTTTCGGTTTTTTCGGGACTTTTCGAAAATTCTATGTTGTGTTTTATTTCTTAGGATCGTATTGAAATTTCGCGGAATTTTTTGGGACTCCTCGGGATTTATTTCTGGACCGCTTTGGAGTATTCCAGGATTTTTTGAGGCTTTTCCGATATTTTTCAAGACTCTTTATTGAGATCTTCGGGATTTGTTGCTATATTTCTGAACTTCTTTGTCCTTTCATTTGCCATTTTTCTGGAACTTTTTTGAGTTTTTTCCTTGCATTTCAGAACTTCGCGCGAATTTTCCGGGATTTTCTGAAATATTGCTGGAAGTGTGCATGCTTGATTTTTTATAGTATTTCGGGAACGGGTTACTTCTTATTTAAAAATACAGGCTTTATCATATTCGTTATTTTTTACATTTGAGTCCTTTGCATTTGCTAGTATAGTCCAATCAATCCATGTCGAATAGACTAAAAAATGGTTGGAGTTGACCATTTTTGATTTGGATGAATTTTGGCCAGATCTTTTCTATTGTCATATAACGACATTCTACCAAAGGAAAAAGTTACTTTTTTTCGAAAGTCTAGATATCATACTTTCCAGGATTTCGCAAATTAATTTTTTGGTTTTATTTTAAAATAATATTTAGCGATATAAAGCAAAAATATATCAAAACATTCGAAAAAAATGATCGAATTTCGAAATTAAAAAATTCGTAAATGCAAAAGCTTATAAACATTTTTGGCTCAATTATTTTTACACTATACCTCCAAATGGTTTTAAAGATACTGAAATTTTCAAAAAGATGTAGTTTTTAAGATTTATGTACATATGCATGTAAACTTTCGAACCGTGAACAATTTTTTTTGTAAACCCTATTAGAGTTAAACAAATTTTATTTTATTTGCATTTATTTTTAATTTGGAGTTTGCAATAATTTTTTTTTCCAAAATTTCAGGATCTATTAAGATAAGCCAGAGGTTTTGAATAAACAATTTATATACATACATTAGTTTTTGCTTTGAATTTCCAAATTTTATAACTTTTTTACATATCAGATTTTTTTAAATGTATTATAAAACAGCCTTAAACCGTGGCCAGAACCATTTTTGTAACTACATATTTAGTTTTTGGGATATAGATATAAAAATAAACATCCAAAACCCGAAAAATTATGAAATTTGGAGCTTTTAAAAAAATATATTTTTTTTCCTTTGGCAGAACTCTGATATGTGATAAAAGAAAAGTTCTCTCCAAAATTCATCAACATCAAAAATTGTTGAACGAAACTATTGGACAATAACGTAAGGCTCATAGTGTTCATAAGCAAAAATAATAGTCTCGATGAATTGCATGGAAAGGGTAAAACAACACCCACTCAGCGTTTGCAAGCGCTAGATATAAATAAATTTTCCAGCAATTAAAATACTTAGGCCAATTTGTTAAGTTTTCTACTTTCATGCAGTTCAGTTTTTCTTAGTTCTTTCAACACAAGAAAATTTATTGTTGTTTTTTAATTTGCATCGTTCTGCGCTACTCACCTTTACGTAGTTGAAATTTAAAAGTTTTTTTGAACACCACATGTTGTGCTTCGAGTTTTGTGTTGCCATTGTTGTTGTTGTTGTAGCTACTGTTATCATTACCGTAGTTGTTGGTGTCACCAGCACTGTCACTCTGGAAGGTCGCACGAAAAAAAACTCTGCAAAAATTGTAAGAAAAAGCAAATGAAAGCCAGCAGAAGGAAACTTTATCAGTTAGTAGCCGTTCAAGTTGAAGTTTTCGCCATAAAATATATCTTTTCTTTGAAATTCAATGCGTCACCGCAATGGTAAGAAAAGTTCAAGTATAGCAAAGTCAAGTTTGGTAATAGTTTTTGTTCGAAAATTTTATAAAAAAACGTAGTTTATAGACAAAAGTATGTACATAGTAAATACGTAGTAAAAAGTCAATGGCATGAAAATTAAATAAACCAAATATACTGGTACGTACATTTTTATAGTAAAATGTATATTAAAATAATACATAGAAGGTAGACATTAGAATATCTACATACATGAATGAAACAGAAATATTCTAAAAAATTAGTACTTTCGATGTACCGGCCAAAGTCTTAGGGCCGGTTGCTCAAAGGCTGGTTGACACTAATCATCGGTTAACATCGTTATCGACGTTTTCGACTCCATGCATATAACACGGTGTCGGTAACGTCGATAACGATGTTTAACCAGGGATTAGTGTCAACCAGGCTTTGAGCAACCGGCCCTTAGTATGTAAAGCGCAAGACATTCTGAAGATAGCGTCCGTATAGCACACGTAGCTGCGCGTTTTTAATATGAGGTGAGCCAGTGTTGCCACTCACATATTTTTTCCTACCAAAAAAACGTACCAAAACGATTTTGAGAGTACCAAACAATTTTTTTGTAGTAATAGAAGATAAATTATTTTTTATAATTTATTATTTTGCGGAAAGAAAACAATACGTTTTAACCATAAATTTATTTCACTGGGTTAAAAAAGATTTTGTTCACGCAGAATTTTTCGCAATGTCGACATACAATGTTTTCTAATTAAATTTTTTCTGCTATTTTTTATACTATAACAACAAACATAAAAATGTAATTTATAAAATCTTTTCAAAACTCAGGAGAATTCAATAAATTCTCGTGCAAATTTCCAATTTTTTAATTAGATTTTTTAGAAATTTTTTGAGTATGCAGATTTGTAGCCCAATAAATTTTGAACACGGTTAAGTGTGTCCACAAACCACAAATTTAATGCACTTCAAATTTATTTAGCTTTCTTACTTGTCCATCATTCCATTAAAACTAATCTGTCTTTATGTATTTACTCATTGAAAATCAAGCATGATAGAATACAACATTGCGCCGTCCGGTAAAAGTAAACAAAGCCGAATAGTAGAATAAAAGAAACCGTCAAAGCAGTCAAGTTTTTAATACATATTAAATTTTTCGACAGAAAACATGCTTCAATTGTGTTAAATTGTAAAAATATATGAATTGACAAGACCAAAGTTGCGGTAGCCCTGACGGCGTCACCCAAGAACACAGAATAAAGAAAAATCAAAAATATAGATGGAAATAACTGGTAAAATTGTCAAAAAGCAAAATTGCTCTCAGAGAAAGAGAGAAAAACCAACAAGTACGGGAATGCTTTTCGGGTAAAAACTGGTAAAACTATCAAATACACCGTGGACGCCATTTTTTGTTGGTATAGCAGTTTTTTTTTATCATCTGGGGGATTTGGGGGTCAAAAGCGTATGTGCTCTTGCGTATCCTAGTGAAAATGTGTCTCTTTGGGCGAGTCACAGAAGTGGCCGTGATTATTGGACCAAAGTAGGTAGGGCGGGTAGGGTGGTCCAAAAATATATGTAATGAAAAATGTTTTAAAGTGTTCTTCCAATTGTTTATTAAAGCACTTTTTATATTAAACATTTTGTGAACCTTAGCGTCATAACCAGAGATACATAAAATCAACGTTTCGGTAATGGCGGTATTCCAAAAGACCTACCAGCGGTGGCGGAAATAAAGAATGCCGAACAAAAGGATTCTAATTTTGATTCCAGATAATGTTTATCAATCAAAATTAAGTTGTTTATGTAACCATTATTGCAGGTTACCTCAAGCATGCTGCGCAATCAAATGCTGTCATTCAAAATCTAGCAATGACACGATGTTGAATATGACTTGTATCAACAAGCCACAGTACTTGAATCCATTCTACGAAATTTACTTTGCATTAATTGCGTACAAATAACAGTTAATTATGCTGTACATTTCGAAATGTTTGTATGTATGTGCTACTTAACGCACTTCACAAACACATCTCCACACGGAGGGCAGGAAGCGAAGATAGGTTGCATAAAAATGTCGACAAAATCTGAAAGCAGGGTTGTATTGTTGATATCTTAAGGTTAAGAATCCGCTTAAATTGAAATCCTAGCTGCTCCTGTTTTAAAGATATCCACATTTTATATACTTCTGATAGGATATATTTGCAAAAGAGGAAGGCGTACTTCTCGATAATTAGAGCATATTTATACGAAAAGAAATCTCATACAAATCTGTTTCTCTTTTTTAACTCACTAAAACTGATCAAATTAATGTGAAACATTTTAATTTTTTCCTACCGAAAGAATAATTGATCGAGATTTATTGGGCGCTACCGGTATACAACTTAGATAAAGCACCACAATTACCTTTTTCTGTAGCGTGAACTTTCTCATTACAAACACATTCAATATCGCAATATATGTATGTATGTATACAATATTTTGTGCTATATAATACGGTAGTAATTTTTTATTAAAGGTTTGTTGCTATAAACAAGTAGCGCAGGCAAGTCGCACTGCGCTTGTGCAAGAAATAAAAATGCTCTAACTTAGGCCAACGGTACTCCAGATAATAAGTAAATAAATTCAAAGCTTGTATGAGATTTATTTTGCTATTTATGTACTCTTCTGTCAGGAAATAATGACTATTGTACATCCAGAACACAAATGCGATCATGAAGAAAATCGCATGAAAGTATGCGCTTTGTGTGTAGGGCTGCCAGACGTCCCGGTTTTCCCGGACATGTCCCGGTTTTAGACTATTTATCCCGGTGTCCCGGTCCAACCTTAAAATGTCCCGGGTTTCATTTAAGTGCCCCGGTTTTCGATTTGATTGCACAAATTTTGCATAAAAATGACTACGCTGAGAGAAAAAACGCGTTGTAATATTAAGAAAAATTTTATGAATTTACTGGGGGAAATAACGCATAGTAAACATGAATATTTTTTATTTGATTATCGTTTTGAAATGTTCGTACTTAAAAACAATACTTTCATACCACGCACACGTGGTGTTGAATCAAACTGAACATTTGAATGCACATTTACATGGCTGGCTGTAGCTGAGTGCACGAAGATGCTTGCCACAATTTCCAGAGCGTCAGGGTTCAAATCCCATTACAGACAGCATAGAATTTAAATATTTTTTGTTTAACTTAATTATGAAAAAGCATCCGTTAAGTGCAAAGCGCTTCATTTTAATATTGGCGTATTTGAATTGAATATTTCTATACTAAATACTAAAATTTGTATACTTGAATTTATTACGAGTTGGGTTGGTGCTCTTTCATATGGTGCTCTTTCATATGCGATTAATATAAGTATGTACCTAAATACGTTAAAATGACATGCACAGAGGTTTACAATTATATTAAGCAAAAGCCAGAAGTTTTGAAACAAGTTCACAGCAACGAAACAAATGACTGATATTTTAATGTTACCTTGTATTTATTTTTTTTTCTTTCGTGAAACCTAGATTACTTATGAGACACTTTCATCTGATCACAATTTCTAATCAGATCTTTTAGAAAAATTTTGAAAATGCAGCTTTTGAGCCAATTAGTAAAGTGCAAGTTTGACCAAGTTACCAGAAAATTTCGTTGATTTTTTGCAATTATTTATTTTTTGCTGACAGTGTCTTCCACATACAAAAAAATGTCGAACATAGTTTGTATGGAAGAAACTCTCAGTAAAAACAATACCAAATATATTGCCTCGTTCAAAGCCATGAACAAAATCGTGAATACATGCTTTTCCGCAAAACAAGCGGATCTAGTGTAAATTTTGATAAAAATCTTAACGAACTCCGCACAGCTTTGAAAAGTACTGGAATTTTTCAAACTGTCAAAATCCATATTATCCTTGAACATTTAAAGCAATCTATTTCATTCTTGAATAACGATGGTTTATGATTATGGTCCGAGCAGGCCGGGGAGTCAGTTCATAGGGAATTCATTAAATTCTGGGATAGATTCAAAATAAATATGATTGAGGAACCAACTTTTGTGAGTCGCCTGAAGAAAACTGTAATGACATTTTCATTCCAGCATATATAAAAACTTAATTAAATAATAAAATATCTAAATACTAAAATGTGTGATTATATTATATGGTAAGCCAACAAAAAAAGAAAAGGAAACAAAAAACAAATATAAAAAAATAAAGCAAGAAAAAATATATAAAAAAATAAAACCAAAAAAAAGAACAAAGAGGTGCAAAGTAAGTTGCCTCCACGTGGTGCGCCTTGGAAACGATTGAAACTGGCTAAAAACTTACATAAACTTATATTTTCACATAATATATATACACACATTTACTCACACATACATTGTTGAATATTTAATGCACAAGGATGTTTTTCTCTTTCGCAAAAGTCGGTCCTATCATAACTATGTAAAATGTGGATATCTTTAAAACAGGAGCAGCTAGGATTTCAATTCAAACAGATTCTTAACCTAAAAATATCAGCAAACACAACCCTGCTTTCAGTTTTTGTCGACATTTTTATGCAACCTATCTTTGCTTCCTGCCCACCGTGTCCATCTGCTAGGAAATTAAACGCGGTTCACTAGCAAATGATGATTTAATTAAATGGACACAATGCTTTCACTACAAAGTAAATTGAATTAACTCCACCTCTTTGCCCATTTCGCTCAGACGGCAAACCGCAATTATAACTTGGCAATTATCTGCAAATTACTCTGGTTATCATTCTATGAATTGCTCTTCGCTACAGCGTTCAACATCCGCAACAAACCGACAATTATGGCACGCATGAGAAGTAAAGGAAGAAGATGCTAAAGAAGGTGATGATGAGAAGAAAAATATGACAGGATATGCATTAGAGTGGT